TTTGCTCTTCCCAACTTTAAAATGCTAAGTCTCTATTTTAGGCAATAGAAGATTTGCTTGGAAAAATGTCTTGGATTTTCCTTACCCCTCTCTTTTCTTCAATTCTTTTTTTATCCCCTTCCCCTCATTTTCCCTCCCTCCCTCCTTCCCTCTTTCTGTCCCCTCTTGATTAGCTGTCCTTGTTTAGCAGTAGAGTGAAGCATCCTGGAGACATCCAGTGTGCTCTCCAAGGGAGGGAGGACCTCCAAGGTGCTTTTTGAAGTGAGTGTTGTGCTTCTAAGTAAATAAAAACAGCATCTAACTGGCTCAGGAAGCATGTGAAGAGGAAGGTGACTCACTGGTTAGTAGTATGTTTGCCGTATGTAACACGTTCCTGCAGCTCTGAACCGCCAGCGGTGCGTGCATGACTGTCCTGTCAGGTAGCACTGGACATTCATGCACGCACCGCCAGCGCTCAGAGCCACCGCCAGCGAGACAGATTATGGTCCTGTCGTGAATGTGTTAGAAGGCTCACGTCATGTTTATAAACCAGGGCATTTTGCACTGAGAATAATTAGCATGGGATTCAGACTAATATTTTACTGTCTGTTACTGTTTGATTAAATGAGGCTAAAACCTGAATAATGACTTGTAACCCCTTTCTCTCTCTCTTTCTCTTTGCTATTTTCAGTAGAGCATGCACCATTTTGAACGTGAATTTTCGGTAAAGTAAGCTATGCTGATTTCTCTAACTTTAAAGATGCTCTGTTTCTGTATAAAAAATAGGATCCAGTACTTCTGGATCACTGAGGTGATGAACATGTGGGAAAACAGATTTGAGGCTATTTCCTTATCTGAACATCTAAATGAAATACAGCATCTTTAAAAAGCACTATGTATTCATTTCATTTCCATCGTGATCTTCAAAAATCTTCATTTTCACTCCAATTTTAGTTTAAAATACAGCTCTAAAACCTCCAGATCAAGTGCATGGCATTTTGGTGTATTTTAATTTTGTTTTGTTTTTTGTTTGGTACCGGGGATTGAACGCAGGTCCTTATGCTTGCGCAGCAGGCAGCAAAACCCCTGAGCTAAATCCCCAGCCCTTGGTGTATTTTAATTTTGGAAACCATGACTCTCAAAGTCCTGTTGCTGCTGAAATATTGGTTCCTAGTTACTCTGGTGCAGAAGAAAGTGCTAAGGTAAAGTTTTTGGTTTTATGGAGACTGGCTTTTATAACAGATGATGGGGAAAAACAGTTCTTAAGCATTCGTAAAACTTGCTGGGACGTGATTACAGTCCTCATCTACTTGAGGCTAAAGTGAAGGCGGTCATCAAGACCTGGGGGGCTGCCGGTGTTGATGGTCGCGGCCCCCTCCTCCTCCTCAGAGCAGTGCATCCGTCCGCTGTGGCTCTGGTATGAGCTGGTGGCCCCTTGACCTTCCCACTTACACGAGTGGACCGCAGAGCAACTCGGAGCTACAGAGACCTGCCTGTGGCCTACTGCCAAAATTGGCCTGAGGACAAGGGACGCTCACATGGCCTTCCCAGGAGGCTGTTGAGGATGTTGAGGCGTGCCCTTCCTCCTTGGATCTAACCTGCACTCTTGGCCATAGCAGTCTGCGCCCTCTTCCAAGGCCTCCACCAGGGTGCCAGGGTCCCATTGGATTCGGTGCAAGAGATTTAGGGAAGGGCAGAGAAGTTGGTCTCAGGGATTTTGTCTAAGAACAAGTGAGAAGGGAGAGATTAGGACTGACCTGTCAGACCTGTCCATAAGCTGTTTTGGAGGCCCCCATCCTGGATGTGAGTTAGCATGGAAACTGCTCTTGTTGTGTGTGGCCTGGAGATAAGGCCCTTGGAAGCCTCCTGGCAGGAGGAGCTTCCACGTTTTAGGTGGAGGGAGTACAGGCATCAGGCAGTTGTTCCCAGGTTTGCCATTTGGCCCCTGTACACCACCCAATGTGTCGTAGCTTAAGTCTCAACGGACCTTTAAAGGAAGCTCGAGAACCATGAAAAAAGGCAAGAAGAGGGCCAGGGATGTAGCTCAGTGGCCTTCGTGCCTGCCTTACAAGTGCAAGGTCCTGAGTTTGATCCCCAGTACCAAAAAAAACCCCAATAAAAAAACAAAACAAAAAAATGTTTTAAAGGCTGGGTGTGGTATAATCCCAGAGGCTGAGGCAGGAGGATCATCGAGAGTTCGAGGCCAGCCTGAACTGCAAAGGGAGACCCTGCCTTAAGAAACCACCCCCCCACACACACGCACGCAAAGGCAAGGAGGAAGTCCAGAAAGTCCAGAGACAAGAGATGGGGCTTGTAGTCAGAGGCCGAGTCCCTGGTGTGTTCCTGCTGCCTCCAGTTTCCGCCCTCAGACTCCTGGGCCTCCCCTTCCCTTCCCGAGTGTTTTGCACTGGCAAGTTGGGCTTCGGCCTTGCTTGCCCTAACCACACATCGGGTCTGCTGCAGTTCTCCCAGGCCCAGGAAGAGTGGGCCTGATGTCCCCTGAGGGTGGTTGTGCCCCTTTGTGAGCAGAGGTGACGTCAAGATGACCCTGCTCTTCCCCTTGGGGAGCAGCTGTCCTTTCATACAGCCCTCAGCATCCATGTGCTAGACGGGCATAGGCCGCAGCAGCGTGGACAGTGCACATACACTGCCTGCATTCCGGCAAGTTTTGGCCTTTACTCAGAAGATAAAGATCCAATTACTGAGCCCCACCCACAGCTCCCAAACTCCTGTGGTACATTGCACTTTTAACTTCAAGCACTTGGAATGAGGAGGAAGTCAGTGGGTGGTTCCCTGCAAGGCCTCGAGGCCTCCGGCTTTCAGGCTTTCACAATATGGCCCGGTGTCTGCCATGCCCCTGAGCTCAGCCTCCTGGGCTGGAGGAGGAGCAGTCTCCAGACGGCCAGCCTGGGGCCTTTATTGGACCCCAGTGCTGTGGCAGCCCAGAGTCTGTCTTCCCACCCTGAACTCTGCAGGGGTTCTTCAACCCAGGCTCAGAGCACAAAGCCCGAGGCAGAAACCCTGGAGCCCTGGTGGGTGCCCGCTGCCCTCTTCTGGCCATTGGATGGGGGTGCAGGGGGAAGCACTGGTACCCTCACCCCGGTGGGCAGAGCTCCTCCTTCCTGGCCCTCTTGAGTCCCGAGAGCTTCACCACCTGCTGGCGCCCAAGGCCTGTATCACACACTCATCCTACCTGGGTTTCCCACCTCAGCACTCACTCCAGGTTTAGAGTAGTTTTTATCTTTGTAACCACACGACTTAAAGTGAGGAACGTGTTCTCGCAGTCCATCCCAGCACGGAACGCAACTACTTCATTCATTAGTCCTTACTGAATAGAGCCAATGAAAGTTACACTTTGTTCATTTGTCTGTACTTAATCTTTATTTGTATTGCTAAAGTATCATTTTTTTGAGAATTCTAAGGTTGCAGAGCATGTGTGTGCATTTGTGTGGTTCTTTCAGCTACCTTAGGTGGGGGTGAAAGATACAAAGGAAGGTAAGTGGTTTTCTGTGAATTGCAGGACTGGCTTTTACCTGGCACACTTGGTAGAACAGATACGCATATTCCCAGGCGATCCCATGTCACTGCTGCACACCGACTGGCGCTGGCTGTCCTTACCTGCTGTCACCACAGCGTGGGAGGGAACATCGCCTTAGGGTAGCCCGAGGACAGTAGAGATAGTGGAGTCTGAGAAAGCTGCAGAGATCACAGGAGATGGGACACCAACCTGCTGCACAAAGTCCTGTAAGGCAGGACTGTTTGTCTACATATTTTGTCCTGAGAACAGTTCACTTACTGATTCAGAATTACAAAATTCAGGCTGAGGCAGAAGGATCTCAAGTTCAAACCCAGCCTGGGAAACTTAGAGATGTTTCTCAAAATAAAGAAGGGTTGTGGGGCCGGGGATTTAGCTCAGTGGTTTCGCCGCAAGGACCTGAGTTCAATCCCTGGTACCCACCCCACCCCCCCAAAAAGAAGAAGGGTCGGGGCCAGGCATGGTGGTGTATGCTTATAATCCTACCACTCAGGAGGCTTAGGTGGGAGAATCGCAGCAAGTTCAAGGCCAGCCTGGGCTATGTAGTGAGTTCAGAGCAGCCAGAACTACATAGCCAGACCCTGTTGAATGAACACATGAATGGGGATATAGGTCAGTGGTAGAAGTGCTTGCCTAGCATGCACATGGCCATGGGTTCAATCCCCAATACCACCCCTCCAAAAAAGCAAATGTCCATGTGCCTGGAGCTGAGGGGAGTATTAGATACCTGTCCAGTTTCCTTCCCCTTGCCCAGTAGGATAAAGCTCTGCGTTCCAGTTCTCTCGCTGCTTCTGCACATTGGGTGCAGTTTTCTGGCTCCTCAGAACTGGGCAACTGTGTGGAGAACACACTGGAGCAAGGCTCCTCCCTAAGAATGCCGTCCCCAGGAGAGACCACCTAGGTCTCAGCTTTGTGCTGCCCCTAGCTATTAGCTTTTTCTAGTTTGTAATCCACACTATAGGCAGACTATTTCAAACAGGCTCCTGGTGCTGGTTCTTGCTGAAAATGCTGAGTGGTTTGTCGTTTTACATTAAATCACATCAAGTTCTGTGTCCGTCCCTTTTACGTGTCATCCGGGTGGCCCAGCACAGTGTAGCCAAGCCTGTCTTCACTGGCTGGCAGGAGGAGGGAAGGCTGCCTGGGACCTAACTAAAGTAGCTGATGGAATTCTTTCTTTTGGGGACCATTACTAAACTTTGGAAATGGGGTCATAGGCTCATGTCACGAAGTGGCTGCATGTGATCTGTGGTGTTTATCCATCTTTTCTCATACGACTGTTACTGGAAAGGAACAGCGACCTTTAATTTATTTCCCCTTTGTTGCTTCTAGCTTGTGCTCAGTATTTTAAAGAATGATACAGTCCTGTGTACCGTGGTCCCTCAGAACATGTGCAGTCTTGAGCTCACCCACCCAGGCCTGAGCAGCAGCAGTGTGCAGGGTGGTAAGAAGGTGGATGCTGACTGTCTCTTCCCCCTCTGCTCCACAGGGCTATCTGCATTACCTCCACCGCCTCCACCTCTGCCCCCAGCAGCTCCCCTGCCGCCTGTGGGCACAGAGGCATCTGCACAACTCTCGCCCCAGGCTATGAATGGTGTGAGCCGAGGGGCCTTGCTCAGCTCCATCCAGAATTTCCAAAAGGGAACTTTGAGAAAGGCCGAAACCTGTGATCACAGTGCTCCTAAGATTGGCTAAGCTTCCCGTTTACACTGGGAGGGAAAAGTCTTTTTCCGCCCCACTCCCACCCCTGAAGTCCCCCGTGGCTGGGTGAGCCCTGGAGAGCCGGCACTGCCTCTGTTCTGCATATGCTCTGGCGAGAGGCTTCCGGAGGGCGGGATCCGCCATGTAGGGTAAGGTCGGGCCTGCACTGCTGCCTTCGAAAGTATTCTGCTCCCATTAGCACTGTAAAGGGGCCCTGGTCATCCTCTCATGGGCATCTTTTGGGGGACAGCACAATACATAAATCAGTTTTTTCGCCAACTACAGGAAATAGAAGCAGTGACAGTATTTCATCACAGCAGTGAATGGCCTTTGTGCTGCAGCCCCTCTACCCCATGAGAAACCCTCCTCATAGCTCATTTCTCTGAAGCACTTCTGGGTACTCCTTAGATAACTCATTTCTGCTACCTTTATTTTGCCTCTGACGTTAATGCTGTAGCCCAAAGCATAGTTATGTGACTGTCAGAGAAGCACCCGAGTTCATTTTCCCCTCACGTTGGGGGGGGGTCCCCAACAGTGCCACGTTCCATAGGGAACCCCTGATGACCACAGAGCTCAGGGCTTCGAGAGCAATTTCTCTGGACCCATGCTTCTTATACTTACAGTATACTGAAACAGAAACAGACTATCACCCTAAAAGTTCCTGCCAGTTAAAAGATGTTAAGTCCTCAGCACCTGTCAAGCTTGGGGTTCGGGGGTGATCATTACTACAAGTACATTTGGCATTACAGAAATCAATTCTGATAGTTGAAAGATTTATCCAAATACATTGTCTTTTTAATGTTACTCATTTACTAGATTTTATCCTATGATTTGCTTAAATTTTAAAATAAATTGCACTTTAAAGGATTATAAATAATCCGTTTTAAAATTCAAGTACACACATCAGTGTTGGTTACTATGCAGAATGTCATTGTGTAGTTTCATGTAATGTGATAAATGTTCAGCTGTATTTTTTATTAAAATAAACCATGTCAAGAAACATGTTGTTTGTAGGTATTTCAAATGAGAATTTTCCATTGGACCTTTTCTAAACATAAAAGATGCATATAGCAGTTTCCTTCCTATCTTGTCTATTTCGTTTTGTCATATTTCCCACATAATATACACTAACAAGCCTATCTTGCCTGTATGATTCTGTAGTGCATTTAAACCTACCCTTTCAGCTGAAGAGGACAGTATATGACAATGCTCTTGGCGACGGGAAGAATAAAATGTGTTCATTTTAAAGGGAACTGTTAGAACCAGGGCACATGAGGATCTTGGAAAAGCCCTCACTCCAAGTGTGATGTGGGCTCAGGGATCAGCTCCTGATGGAAGCCTTGGGCCTGAGTCCTGAAGTCAGCTCTTCCATTCTAGATAAAGTTTCACGTACATGAATAAAAACAAGCAGGGAGGACTGGGGATGTAGCTCCATGGTAGAAGGCTTACCTAACATGTGTAAAGCCCTGGGGTTGAGCCCCAGCACCACCAAAGAAAAAAACTTGTTTATATGTGATCACTTTATTTTCCATTTGACCCTAATTTCTTAGTAGAATTGTAAGACTTCTGCCCGCATTTATTTCATGACCATAAAAGTTACTCATAGTTATGAATTCCTTTATTTTTTATCAAAACACAGTAAATTTATACAATGTCTTATATATATATATGTTATCTTCTGGCTGCATCTTCCATCAGGATCCTGCCACATTCATATTTTGTCCCTTTATATCAATCTTATTCAAAGAACAGGGCAGGGCTGGGGGTTTAGCTCAGTGGTTCTGCTGCCTGCCTCGCAAGCGCAAGGTCCCAAGTTCGATCCCCAGTATCCCCTCCAAAAAAGAACAGGGCAACTGTAACAGACAGAAAGCATGGAGTCTGGTGCAGGAGTGTGGAGTTTGCCATTCAAACACTTAAACTTTTTACCAGTATAAAAATACCTATTGATGCCTTACAGATTACTTTATGAGCAGTAAGATCTTGCAGTCCAATCCAGATGAAGTCCCAGGAAGTATTTTAAATAAATTTCAATGACTTGATGTTCAAGCCTGAACTAGATATTTAATGTTTTCTTTATTGCAAATATGATGTCTTTGACCTGAGGTACAGAGTTGTCTTCTAAAATCTTTGCATAAGGCATAGGGACATCAGCACCAGTGACGCGAACAGCAGGAGCATCCAAGAAATTGAATGCAGGACCTAGAAGAGAAAGGAAGCTCACGTGAGAGAGGGCCAGGAAGAGCCAGCCGAACCCCACCACCTGGGCAAAGTACCACACCCGGGAAGAGAAAACATATGCTAAAGAAATTCTACTCATGGGGATCCGTTTCTGGTTTTGTTTTTTACATCATTCACCCAAAAGAGAAAATGCCAACCTGACGAGTCAAAAGGTAGAAGTCAACTGACCACCCCTAACTTTGAACCTCTTTATCCAGTCAGTATGTGTTCAGGTACATGATGTTTATTAAAGCCTGACCATATTCTAGAAGCAGTTTCTTTGAAATACCTTCCATGATCCTGGCACAAATTTCAGCTCCCACTCCAAACTGCGGCCAGCCTCCTTCCACAGTTACAAGATGGTTAGTCTTCATGACACTGGCTTCGATGGTTTCAATGTCCATTGGTCTAATGGTACGCAAATTTATCACCTGAACAGATAGTAAAATAAGCTTTACACAACCACTGCATCACAATGCAGCACTGGCTCCACAATACCACTTCTTCCTGACCTCATTACAGAATACTGAGGTTTCTTAATCTTTGGGTACAGGAAAATCTAATGTGCCTATTGACAGGTACATGAGTCTACAAAATATAAAAGGAGAAACTAAAACAAGAATCTAGGGCCGGGAATTTAGCTCAGTGGTTCCACCACCTGCCTCACAAGCGCAAGGACCCGAGTTTGATCCCCGGTACCAAAAAATAAATAAATAAATAAAACAAGAATCTATCTTTATTATAAGCAACTCTGTTCCTTAATAGGATTCATTTATCCTTCCTGGCTTTGACTTCCCTCTTACGAAAACATAAATGAGCCAAGCGTTGAGTGCTTAGTGTGACCAGGCACTTCACTAAGCATAGTTCTCACAACTACTCTTAAGGGGTTAGTATTTATATTACCGTTTATCGCTGAGGAGACTGAGAATCAGAGTGCCTAACTTGCCCAAGTATAGTAGCAACTGGTAGGACCTACTCAGAAGGTTAGAATCTATTTTTAAGACAGGACCTCACTAAGTTGCCCAGGTTGATCTCAAACTTGCAATGCCCCTGCCTCAGCTCCCAAAGTGCTGGGATTACAGGTGCACGCAAGCACACGTAATTACAATCACTGACTCCTGAATTCTCAAGTCCAGCTCCAATGCCGGATCTTAACTTGAGAAAGTAGGTACGATTATAAAAGAGCTAAAACCTAAGTGGTAAAGAGCTAAGGTAAGGGTATGAAAAATGAAAAGCCTTCCCAGTCTTCAGCTTTAAGCTGGGGTAGAACTGAGTGACAAAGCACAATTTTACATCCAGTTAAACTGTTATGAGCACGGTATGGTGGTGCACACCAGTAATCCCAGCACTTGGGGGCTGAGAGGTAAGAGGACTGCTGTGAGTTCGAGGGCAGCCTGGACCACATAGTGAGTTCAAGGTCAGTCTGAATGACATAGTGAGAGCCTGCCTCAAAAAAACAAAACAAAGGGACCAGGGATGTAGCTCAGTGGCACAGTGTCTGGCTGGCAAGCTCGAGGTCCTGAGTTCCACACCCAGTACCAAAAAGCAAAACAAAACAAAACACCCACTGTTGAGGAACTCCCTATTTTTGGGTCTTATTTTTAAAAGGGCCTTTCTGATTAAGATCAAGCGAAAAGTCCACTCACCTCACATTCAACTCCTTCTTTAGACAGCACTGTCGCAGCTTCTAAGCAATGGCCCACAGGTCTCGAATGGGAAACCACAGTTATATGTGTCCCTGAAAACAGAGGTCACAGGTCAGAGGTCAGGGTTGAAAATAAAGATCCAATACCACTCTGAAGCCAGCTGTGGCTCCCTGCCTAGAAAGGAAATTCAGATCTACTGGACTAAGATAAACCTGTGACCCTCCTGTCTCTCCTCTGGGATTACAGGCATGCCCCACCAAGCCTGACTGCCACATTCTGAACCTGAGCTCAACCTTTTAACTTTTCAGGCAAAGCAAATGGCTGTAACTTCTAGATTAAATATGACCTATATAAATAGAGGAGCTGGATTTAAAGTAATATCTAAATGTACACTAAAGTTCTCTTACCTTGCCTTTCTATCTTGGCTTTTCCAATAGGAATCAGAAAATCTTTTGACTGAGCTTCTGCAGGAAATTCAAAAGCAACTCCATACATCAGTTCATTCTCTAGCATCACCACTGCAAAATATTAGATTTAAGCAAAACAAGCACATATAGAATGTCTAAAAATGCATAATATACAACAATATCCCACTTGAGAAAAGTCTCACTGTGTTTATTAGGAAGTCTTGTATCTATCACAGCCAGTAGCTTAAGGATGGCTTAGGGCAGTGTTGGCAAACGTATGGCATGGGTGCCACAGTTTACTGTTTGTTATCACTGAAGCTCTAAAAAGTTCGCCATCACTGGTTTAGGTACTTAACTTTTATAGTGTCACTGATTTAATTTCATCTACTGAAGTTAACCCAGTGTTGTGGGTGTCAGTACATGTCTCCTTTGACTAACTGGCCTTGTTTTAGTCAGAAATAAGAAAAACAACTGCATTCTTTCCTATCTTTGCTGTATGTATATATCATCAGCATTCTGTATGTCCAGACCTAATAGATGCCTACTGTGGTTCCTTCTATGCAAAGGTATATTTTAGGGGGTTTTTTGGTACTGGGGATTGAACTCAGGACCTTGTGCTTGTAAGGCAGGCGGCAGAACCACAGAGCTAAATCCCCAGCCCTATATTTTAGTTTTTATGCTCAAGAGACTCAGGGTCCCTCTGCCTACCTGGATTGTTATCCCGAATGGCTGACTTAATAAGTCCTTTTGCATCCTCTGCATTCCAGGGGCTGACCACCTTCAAGCCTGGGCAGTGCCCATACCACGCAGCGAAGCACTGTGAGTGCTGAGCAGCGACACCTGCTGAGGCACCATTGGGCCCCCTGAACACGATGGGCACAGGCTGGAGCCCTGCCGACATGTAGTAGGTCTTGGCAGCTGAGTTTATCACCTGGTCGATGGCTTGCATAGAGAAATTGAAGGTCATAAATTCACAAATGGGCCGCAACCCAGCCTGTCAAATAAAAAGCACGAATGTTAAAAAAAAAAACAACTAGACACACCAATGAAGAGTGACCAGTAACTACTCTATTCCTTCAATATTCAATGTTTTTCTTGTTTTGTTTTTTGGGACTTTTTTTAACATTCAATGTTTTTAAAAGGTCCTATTAAATCTCTTCATGCAAGGTCCTGAGTTCGATCCCTGGTACAGAAAAAAAAAGAAAGAAATCTCTTCATAAAGAATATTACATACCATAGCTGCACCCACAGCAATTCCAGCAAAGCCCATCTATAAAGTAAAACATAAGCACGAGTGAAAACCCACAAAAATTAGGACTGTTAACACTAACAGACATGCCCCTCCAAGTTTTGCTTCCTGTTGGAAAGCTTACCTCAGATATGGGAGTGTCTATGATCCTCTTGTCTCCGTACTTCTTCCACAGGCCCCGACTAACCTACAATTTAGAGGTGACCCCATTACTTTGAAGCATATGTCAGAGCAACTGGCCACCTCAGTTTATATAACTTTCACCTATTTTGGTTACCTTGTATGCCCCATCGTATTGGGCAACTTCTTCCCCAAGCAGAAATACCTTCTCATCTCTCTCCAGCTCCTCATCCATACCTTGATTGATAGCATCACGAACTGTTACCTGGCACAAGTATGTGAAAATAGTCAATAAGCTACAGGATTATTCAGGTCTTCTTTTCTACATTCCTAGGCTGCCCACAGCATAAAATATGCAAACTAATACTAAATCAGACTTGGTTTAAAAATTCCAAGAATCTAAAAGTAACATTTCTTTCACACACAGTCTTTAGAGTACTGATAAACTTACTCAACATCTCTCTTGACGTGTACCCAAGCTTAGTAAAACTGTTTCTGGGGCACATTAGCTCACAGGCAGTTTCCTAGGGAGAAAATATACTAGGTTGTCTTATTAACACACTTGGAGTACTAAAGGGCAAAGAAGAAAGCCTAAGTATGTTTTTTTTTTCTTTTTTTTTTGGTACCGGGGATCGAACTTGGGACCTTGCGCTTGCAAGGCAGGTGGCGGAACCACTGAGCTAAATCCCCAGCCCCTCTAAGTATGTTTTTAATATTATAAAAATAGTTTATTTTAAAGACTTTCAACAGGACTTCAACATCTCATTTTCAGATTTTTAAGACTAAGTATTGAACACTCATTAGGTGCGTGCTGAACACTTTACATTCAGGATGCTGGAGCTATTATTTTTGTTTGTTTGTTGTTACTGTTTTTTGGTACCGGGGATCGAACTTGGGTCCTTGTGCTTGTGCAGCAGGTGGCGAAACCACTGAGCTAAATCCCCGGCCCCTGGAGCTATTATTTTAATATATGGAATAGTAAAATCCCCTAGTACAGTGTCTGGGTGGTGGTGATAGTAGAGGGGAACAACTACCCTATGATCCAGCAACTCTGCTTCGGGGTACACACCAGGAAGAACTGAAAGCAGGGACTCAAACATACACCTGTACACACACGGTCATAGCAGCATTATTCAACAATCCAAAGGTAGAAGCAACCCAAATGTCCCTCCTTGGATGAGTGGGTAAACAAAATGTGGAATATACCTACACTGGAAGCTATACAGACTTTCAAAGGAAACAAATTTTGACGCACACCACAACATAAATGAACCCTGAATACATTGTGCTAAGTGAAACAAGCCAGCCACAAAAGCGCAAATGCTCCATTTATATGAGGTTCTACAACAAAGGTTACCAGGGACTGGAGGAAGTGAGGTATTAATGTGTAATTCCTGTTTGCGATGATGAAAAAATTGTGGAAATGGACAGTGGTGATAGTTGCATATGGTGAATGTACGTGATGCCACTGAATTAAACTCTTTAAAACGGTAAATTTTACGACACACGTATATGGCCACAATTGAAGAGGGAGGGGTCGGAAGTGGCCACTCCTGCTTGACTGCTCCTCTGCTTGCACCGAGCTGGGCCAGGGCAGCGAGAGTCCCACGCAAGACACGGGCGGCTCAGACTCGGAGGCCCGTGGTCCCGCCTCCTGCAGGACGCCCAGCAGCCACGGCGTCGTCGCGATCCCGGCCCCGCCGGCCAAAGGCCCTGTCCCCCGCCGACTGTCCCCGCCAGCTACCTGCAGCGCAGCGGGCGCGCTCCGGTGAAAGTGCCTCTTCAGCAGCCCGGAAACCTGGGGAGGAGACAGAAGGACGCTCATCGAGTACACAGGTGGGCGAGGGTCGCGCAGAGTCGTGGGGCCGCTCACCGCTGCCTACCTGCTGTAGGGGTCTCCGCGCCAGCCCCGACAGCGCCGCCATCTTGCCCGTGTCCTCTAGCAGCCGCCTAATGACAACACGCAGCGGCCGCCGACGCCAGAGGGCCCCGCCCCCGCCAGGGCGGCCAATGGCAGGGCGCGCCCCTTGCGCGTCCCGCCCACTGTCCGCCAGAAGGGCGGGGCGTCCCATGGCGGGGCAGCCCCGGTCCCGCTGGTCAGCTGCGGGAGGTGCACGTCGGGCACGGGCCAGGCGCCCGACCCGCAAGCCTGGAGCTTGAAGCCCCGAGAGTCCGACTGTGAGGAGCACGGTCGTACGAGGCTGGAGGGACCTCGAGAGTTAGGCCACGCTCTGCGAGTACCGGAAACCTGTGGGGACCGAGTGGCGCTGGCACACCTGCGATGGCGAACTCACCACTGTGCGAGTGAGAGTGAGCCACGCCTTCGCCGGACTGCGCTGTCCGTTGGTTCTTTGGGATGCAAGCGACAGCCTTCCCTGACGCACTCGGGGTGCTGTGTGCCAAGTATTGTGAGCGTGCCCCGTCGGTCCTGTCGCGGAGTCACCCTCGCGGGTGATTCGTGTGTCATTCTCTCCATTTTGCAGATGGGTGAACTGTAGCAGAGATTGCTTAAATGGGCTAGGATCTGAATTTAGGACTGCCTGCCTTTTCCCGCTGCTCCCTAAAGCAGAAGTTGGGGTCCTGCGTGGAGGACGTTACAGTAAAGCTTTATAGGAAGATGCCAGACTCCTGACCATCAGGACAGCTTCTTGAAGCTCATTAGCCTGCCCCTAGGAGGTCAGGCAGGACGGTGTACTCAGTCCTCACTCATTCCTGAGACCTCCCAAACATCCTTGTAGTGCACTGTAATCCTTCATACTAGCAGACTAAAGAAGGCATAATGAAATAACCCGGTGCAGGAAAATCACTTGACAAAATTCAGAGGCCATTCATGATAAAAGGAATCTGTAAACTAGGAACAGAAGGGAGGGAGCATCATTACCCTGAATGGGGGCATCTATTAAAAAGAAGCACCTTGGGCCGGGGATTTAGCTCAGTGGTTCCAGCGCCTGCCTTGCAAGCATAAGGTCCCAAGTTCAATCCCCGGTACCAAATAAATTTTTAAGCATTGATCCTGCTGCTTAAAGAAGCACCTAAAGCAAATATCATTCTCAAAGGTGAAAAACTGAATGTTTCCCCTCTGAGATGGGGAACGAGGAAAGGACATCCATTCTCCTAATTTCTATTCAATACTGTAGTAGTAGGCTGGCAATAAGGAAAGAACAGCAAACAAAAGACATATGTATTACAGCAAAGGAAGAAATCATATAGTCCCTTTCACAGACGAAATAGTAATATATGCAGAATAATCTACAGAGATGCTTCTAGAAATAAATGAGTGTGGGAAGGTTGCAGGACTTACTGTCAACACATGAAAATCAAATTGTATTTCTATACTGGCAGTAAATGATTGGAAATTGAAAACAATTTACATAGCATTTGTAATAGTTTAAAAAACAGAAACAAGCACAAATCTACTAAATGTTCGCAGGACCTGTACCCTGAAAAGTATAAAACACTGATGAAGAAAAATCAGAGAAGACCTAATAGTAAGTGGAAGCCCCCTGTCGGCTGGGCTCGTGGGCTGGAAAATTCAGTGCAGTTAGGATAAAATTCTTTGGTAACTATTCTCATATGTTCTGTATAAGATTTAACACCATTCCAGCTGAAATTCGGTCAACATTTTTTTGTAAATGCAGATAAACTGGTTCTAAAACAAATTTGAAAAACATCAGTGTTGGAGGACTCACACTATCTGATTTTTAAAATTACTAAACAGCTATACTAAATGCACAGCTCAACAATCAGAGTAAAAAAATCTATAAATAAGCTCAATCAAAATGGTCAACTGAGCCGGGCATGGTGGCACATGCCTGTAATCCCAGCACTTGGGAGGCTGAGGCAGGAGGATTACTGTGAGTTCAAGGCCTACCTGGGCTACATAGCAAGACTCTGTCTCAAAAAAAGCTGATTCAGACAAAGCTCCAAAGGCAAGTCAATGAAGAAAAGATAATTTTTCACCAAATGAAGTTGAAAAAAATTAGACATCCATATGCAAAACAAGCCTTGGCTGTTGTGATGATCTGTCCTTTATTTAGACCTCCACCACCCTTTGGCTTCGTAATTCTGAGTCTGAAATTTTTCAGTGCAGAGTGGTGGGGGAGAGGAACAAAAGGACTCCATTTTTCATTCTGAACAGGAATCCCTGGGGACTGAAATCTCAAAGTCGGGTCAGTTGGGCCTCGGAGAGCAGCCTTCAGGAGGTAAAAAAACACATGTGAATGTGTAATAGATAATGTGAAATAGGAAGAAAAAGTCAAAAGGGAAAGGGGAACTACTGGGAGGGGTAGAGGAAAGGAAAGAACCAGTATATCATGCCAAGGTACAAATTCCCAATGATGAATGTCATCATATACCTAAAATGTACCAATAAACTTAATGAAAAAAAAAAAGAAAACACGTGGCTTTTAGGGGCCTGTGCTCACTAAGGAGAGCAACCACAGAGCCAGGTTGGCTGGGAAGCAGGGTCCTTGAGGGGCTAGTGGGTCTCCAAGAACTGGAGTAGGTCTCGGCTCATGAGCACTTGGCAGGAAAACTGAGCCCCCTGAGTCCTGTTTGACATGGCAGCAAAACAAGTGGTAACTCAGTGGATTTACTTAGATTAAGAGATATGGCCCCTGGTGAGGTATGACCAAATCTATGACACTAAATGGCTAAAAACCAAGCTAAAGGCTGTAACTAGATGTCTAAATATATCTTGTCCGTATCTCACCACATATTTGCCATATTTTGTGTTTGTTATTATGTGTATATATGTTGCTGTGGCTTGATTGTTTCTCCCAAAAGTTCATAGGTTGGAATATTAATTCCTCAAAGCAGCAGTGTGAGAGGGTGGGGCCTAGTGGGAGGTGTCTGGGTCCTGGGGGTGGAGCCCTCCCAAATGGATTAACACTGTCTCCCAGGAGTGAGTTCTCACTCTCTTGGGACTGGATCATTTACCTTGAGGGTGGGTTGTTACAAAGTAAGGTTGTCCCTTGTATTACTCATCTTTCCATCTCTGGGACAAAATACCCAACACGGGAAATTTAAAGGAGGAGAGGTTTATTTTGACTCATGTTTTGGGAGGATTCAGTCCATGGTTGACAGGTTCCAAGGCAGGAACAAAATGGTAAAAGGGCCTGGGAGAGAAAAGCTGTTTACCCCATGGTGGCCAGGAAGGAGAGAGAGGAGGGTTAAGCCAGGGACAAGAATATACCCTTCCAGGTCACACACACAGTGATCTCCCTTTCTGACCAGGCCCACCTCCTACTAACAGCATGTTCAGCTTTGAACTCATCAGTGGATTAATTTACTGAGGAGCATGGTACCCATGATCTAATCACCTTCCAAAAGGCCCACCTCTGACTCTGTGAGAATTGGGGGACATTTTAGGTCTAAACCAGAACACCCCTCATGTTCTCTCTTCCCCACGTCTGCTTCCTTTTTAGCTTTCTGCATGGGTTGAAGCGACTCGAGGCCCTCAGCAGAATCACGCAGACTCCAGCACCATGCTCATGAATTTCCCAACCTCCAGAACCATGAATCTGAACCAAACTCTATTCTTTGTAAATAACCAGGTCTCAAGAATTCTGTCACAGCAGCAGACATATGTATATTATAAATACAGCCAGGCCTCCATATCTATGGGCTCTATAGCCAGGAATTGATTTTCAGTTAAAAATATTTTAAAACATTGTGTCTGTGCTGAATATTGTGTACAAACATATTTTTTGCCATTAAGATATAATGACCATTTATATAACATTTACTTGTGTTAGGTATTAAGTAACTGTATCAGTCAGCGCTCCTGTTGCTGAGACACAGTACCCAACACCCACAACTTAAAGGAGGAGAGGCTTAATTTGGCTCACTTTTTCACGGGATTCAGTCCATGGTCAGTTGGCTCCACAGCAGGAATATCGTGGTGGAAGTATTGAGGGTGACTGTGAGTATGGAGAGGAAAAACTGTTGGTTTCCCCTATTTTGCATATATGTACATATGTGATATATAACATGTGCAATACAACATATATGCAATATAATATGTGTTATATGTGTTATATATGCTGAATATATTTGTATAAAGAGGCACCCAGTTAGTCTCTTTACCATTTGATAATACATATGTTACATGTTAACAAACACTATATATAGTATATGATGTTAATATATTGCTATAGTTTGGATCTGGAATGTCCTCAAAGATCCATATGCTAACAAAAGTTGGTTCCCAGCCTGTGGCACTATTGGAAAGTAGAACCTTTTTTGGGGGGGCACTGAGGATTGAACCCAGGCCCTTTGCCCTGAGCTACATCTTCAGCTCCTTTTATTTTTCCTTTTGTCACAAAGTCTTGGTGAGTCACTAGCTTGTCCAGGCTGGGTTGGAACCTGTGATCTTGCCTCAGCCTCTCAGAGTCCTGGGATTGCAGGAGCGCACCACCACGCCTGGCTTGGAAGGGAAAGCTTTAAGAGGTGAGTCCTAGTGGGAGGTGTCCAGGTCACTGGGGATGTGGCCTTGAAGGGGATTAGGAGGGCCCAGCCCCTCTGCTATTTCTCTTTTCCTTCACTCTTCCACTTCACCACACACTTCCACCATGGCGCACTGCCTTGCCACAGGCCCCAAAAAACAACAGGGGCAACCCGGCATGGATCCAAACCTCCAAAACTGTGAGCCAAAGTAAACCGTTTATCTTTATAAGTTGATTATCTTAGATATTTGTTACAGTAATGGAAAGCTAACAAACTTATGTGTATTATATTGCATATAGAAAATATATGATATATATGTAGATAGAGATATAAATATAGATGTAGATATTTTGGAGAGCTACTTAATCTCTAATTACTTGGTTTTTACCACATACTGTTTAACTACATTTTCTGATGTCGGAAAATAGCCAAACTTAATACAGGGTCATCTGTGGGAAAAGGCAGCTGTTGTAGGCAGTCTTCTTGGAGCAGCTTGAGACCAGCTGATGCCATGGTCAGCTTTGGTCTCCTCCGACCTCGCTGGCCTGTCTGCAACACCTGCCTAGAGGCTCCTGCCGCTTTCCTGCAGGGTGTGAGTATCGCCCCTGCCCTGGGCCTGCAGGAGCCTTTGAAAAGCTGAGTGAAGTATAAAAAGTGGAACGAGGGCTGCACAGAAGCCCTTTCTGGAGCCCAGTCTGCTTCATCTGTACTGCCCATCTCAAATCAGAGCAGCCAGGAAGTCAAGAGCTGTGTGTTGACTCTATCAGCAAATGAAGAGAAATCTGAGAATGATCCCAGTGTTAGCATCTATTGGGCAGGTACTCAGTGCTTGGCACATGCCAGGTGTTTTGCATACATCTCATTAACTCAACACTCTCACTACTCTCGGAGCTGTTATTATTAATACACGCCTTTAGATAGATGATATGCATGCAGTTCAGATTGGGGATGGTCAACCTGTATTTTGTTGCCCAGATGATATGCGCAGTTGAAAGGGTACAAAGACTTTATATGTGAATCTAAATCACATCATTCAGGCAAACTAATATCAAGCAAAAAATGCCAGATGGTAACAGTAGGTGTGTTACTTTTCTCTTGTTGCTGAGACAAAATACGAAACACCCAAAATTAAAGGGGTAAGGGGTTTATTTAGCTCCCAGTTTGTAGGGGTTTCAGTCCATAATCGGCTGGCTCCAAGGCAGGGTGGCAGATGGCAGAGGGGCGCCCACATGGTAGCAAAAGCAACAAGGGAATTTAACAGCGTCTTTCTGCCCCTTTTATTTTATCCAGACAACTGGGATTAGGGTGGTGCCAAACCAATCAGTGGACTGATTTAGTAACCACACTCCCTTGTCACACACACTAGATTCAGCCACCTCTGAAGAAGCCCTATGACCGCATGAGGCTTTGGGGAGACATCCAGACACAAGACATAACAGCTGGGGAACCTGCATGGTGAGAATTTATTGCACTATGGTCCCAAGTTTTCCGTTTGAAAGTTTTTCAAAAAAATTAAGGGAGGGCCGGGATGTAGCTCAGTGGCGCTGCACCTGCCTGACAAGCGCAAGGTCCTGAGGTCCTGAGTTTGATCCCCGGTACTAGAAAAAAACAGTTAAGGAAGGGGAAAGTGTCTCCCCCATCGCCATCTGCTTTCTGGGAGGTACTCAGTTTGCAAGCACGCACACACACGCGCATGCGCACGCACACGCACAGGTCCATTTGCTATTTCTGGTGTCTCATTGATAGAATGTTTTTTACACTTTTCTAATGAGTTTTTATTATTAGTTAAGCCACGATTCAGGTCCCAGGATAGGGGCCACCATACACCCATATCCCCTCTCTCCACCCTGGGAAAAAGGCAGAAGACAGAGAGAGGTGGTGAAGCCAGTGCAGGTCTTCCCAGACACCTACCCTTTGCTCAGGGTCATCCCAGGAGGAGACCCAGGTTCTGGGGCAGAGGGACTTGTACAAAATCTCACCCCAGGGACACCCGTCCTCCACTGCCGTGGGGTTGACTGCCACAGATACCCCTGATGCAGTGCGCAGCTCATTGCTGAATTTTGGTTTTGACAGCTTCAGAAGCATGGCTGTTCAGAAAAAGCCACTGAGGTGAATTCCCACGCGCTCTTTCTCAAGTGAGAGAGGTTACACATTGAATATCGCTTAAATCTTGGGACAAGAAGTGTTTTAGATTTTGAATTTTTTCCCCCAGATTTTGGAATATTTGCATATACATAATTATCTTGGGGATGAGACCTAAAACCAAACCAGAAATTCCTTTGTTTCATGTACAACCCGTAGCCTGAAGGTCATTTTATACAGTGATTTTTGTGCATCTGTGTTTTGACAGCAGTTTGGGATTTGGGATTTTCCGATTAGGGATGCTCTAGCTGTATTTTGTTACCCAGGGACATCCATAGAGGGCGCCCTCTCGGATTCACTGCAGCCTTGCAGCCCAAGGTGCGGGAACCTCTGGTAAGGCTGCTAACCTGTGACTCGTGAGATAGTTGTGTGGCTTCCAGAAGTATCAACTCTTATGTTCCCTGCCCTTAGCCATTTTTCTCTGGGCTGCAAAATACACAAAGAGCTTACGTTTTGGCTTTGCAGTAGCACAGGCTGAAAAAGGGAAAGTAGTTGAAGAAGCCCTACTCACATACTGTATGGTGAACTTTAGAGGATAAATAAAACACCCCCTTTCCAGATACAAAAGAGACACCTCCTCCTATCCCAACTATTTTGATGCTGATTATCTGATGAGCTTAGATATTTTCACGGAAGGAAACTAATTTTGTTTAATATATTAGCACTGATTTTATATCCCTGGAGTGGGAAGATATTTCTGTGGATCAGTCATAATGCTGGTCTTTCCTGTGTATAGTTGTTTATTTACTTATTTATTTATTTGGAAACAAGATCTCACTCTGTAGTTCAGGCTGGCCTTGAACTCATTAGATAGCCCAGGCTGGCCTTGAACTCCAATCCATCCTCCTGCCTCAGCCTCCCGAGTGCTGGGATTACAGGCATAAACCACCATGCCTGGCCAGTTATATGTAGCGAGATAAGATTTCACCATATTATCTCTGGATTTGTGTAATTATAAACTATTAAAATAGTGAGTGTGGTCCTATTTTTGTTGTTGTTGTTGTTGTTGTTATTATTTGATTTTTTGAGACAGGGTCTTGATATGTAGCTCAGGCTGGCCTTGAATTCACAGTGATCCTCCTGCTTCAGCCTCCCAAATGCTGGGATTACAGGTGTGCACCACTACACCTGGCAGTGTGGTCCTTTTAAACATATTTGCATCATACTAGTATATAAAAGATTAGTTTAGCCAAGTAGAAATATTGTTTTACTAATGTTGAATGTGTATAGTAACTTGGAGTAGACTAAGGATTTTTGCCATTTAGACGATGTATATAAATATCTATCTTCAGAATTTTGAGATGCTTAAAAATTTGTCTGTTGCTTTAAAATATAGCATAAATTAGCAATATACCATAGCTGTTAAAATCAATTTTGCCACTTCAGGGAATTTGTACTTCAAAGTCACACAAAAAAGTGGGCAAAAATTCATGGCAACTACTTCTAATAATATTTATAATAACAAAAAGGGAAATATGTATGGGTTTGGATCTGGACTAAAAAGCATATGGTACACTTATAAAATGGAAGATTATGAAGATATAAAGGTAAGGTTGCCAGGGATTTAGCTCAGTGTTTCTGCCGCCTGCCTTGCAAGTGCAAGGTCCTGAGTTTGATCTCCGGTAACGAGAAAAAAAACCAAAAGTATGATAATCTATAATTGTTTCATTTCAAATTGTGTCATTTTGAGATACTATATGGAAGCAATCATACAGTATGAGATGGGTTTTTACCACTTAGCATAATACCCTTAATATTCATGCAAGTTGTTGACTTGTACATATTCCATGGTGTGGATGTACCACAATTTCTTTGATCAGTCCCATAAGTATTATTGAATCTTTGAGCTATTTTCAGTTTGGTGCTATTACAAATGAAGCTGCTGGCCGGGGATTTAGCTCAGTGGTTTCGCCGCCTGCTGTGCAAGCGCCAGGACCTGAGTTTGATCCCCGGTACCCCCCAAAAAAGAAAAAAAACCAAAACAAATGAAGCTGCTGTGAACAATCATGGACAGGTTTTGGTGTGAACTTAAGTTTTCATTTTTCTGGGATAAATGCCCAAGAGTATGCTTTGTAGGTTGTAAGATAAGTGTATGCTTAGTTTTTTGAAAAACTGCTAAATTATTTTCCAGAATGCTGCACCCTTTTACATTTCCAACCACAGTTTTCTTTTTATACAGAATGTTACAGACTACTGTTAACACAGTGGCGCTAGGCCAAAGGCACATGAGAATCTGAGACACTTTTCTTTTCTAGAGAAATTTAATATATATTAGATGAGGAGAAAAAGGCAGGTCAATATGAATCTCTTTGCTGGCCCATGCCACATTTAACTTCTTATTTTATCAGAATGATTCTTCCATCACTATCCAGCTAACCCTTTCTTTGAAATTTTTTTAATTTTTATTTTGAGACAGGGTCTTGCTAAATCACTAAATTGCCCAGGCTGAGCTCAAACTTGCTGTCTTCCTGACTCAGCCTCCCAGATTACAGGTGTATGCCTCCACTCCTGGTTTAGCCTAACCTTTTGTTGGAAGCTGCAGTGAACAAATTGCACAGGCCACCTGACTGTACCTTTCATCTCTGACCGAGAGTACCTTTGTACTCTGACCAAGGCTGCCTGAGGAGCTCAGGCCTGTTCTGGAATGTTCTGCTCCCACATTCTGAATAATAAAGTCACTGAGGGTTAGAGTCATTTAGAACCGTCCTACCTCGGGATCTTGTACCTGCACACCCCACCCTCAGTGCCAGGCTTTGGTTGTTAGAGCACAGGGTGAGGTCACACTCACCTATGTTAGGAGACCCAGCTCCGGGGTCATGCTGCCCTGTCCAATTACTCAGCCTGAATTTCCCCACCTGCACATTGAGGGCACAGGTAACACCCAACAATATCCCCTAACAGAGCCTTTCAGTCACTGTGCAGATAGATATGGTAGTGAACAAAGATGTGGCCTTAAAGTGCCCCAAAGAGAAACCCCAAGTACACTGCTCAGCCCAGTCTTGGGCATGTGGCTAGCATTAAAGAAATGTTTTTGTCACTTCAGTCAAACTCAATACTCGTTTATGGGCTTGAATGGAATATAAAGAAGCCAGTGTGACACATTTTGTTTACTATTATATATGCATTTTTTTCTTTTTGTGCTGCTGGGGGTTGAAGCCAGGACCTTATACATGCTAGGCAAGTGCTCTACCACTGAGCTACATCTCCAACCCTCCAACCCTGGCCTAGTACATTCTTCATTTTAGTTGGACATTAAATATCAGATTGTTAGGAGCTTGCTGGCTTCATCTTGTCCCTAACATCAAATTAGTTACTCACCAAATGCACTCATTTTGTGCTTAAAACCTGGGATTAATTTCTGAACTTTGTATCTTTTTTTTTTTTGGTACTGGGGATTGAACTCGGGACCTTGAGCTTTGGAGGCAGGCAGCAGAATCACTGAGCTAAATCCCCGGCCCTGAGCTTTGTATCTCGAACATCAGATTCAGGAAGGGTCTCTTGCATAAAACTCAGAAGAAAGATGCTGTTTATAAACTTATAAAATGTCCCTTACTGAGTGTTCCAAGGTTGATATGTTACCAAAAGACTCCCGCAACAATAAAGGACAATTCCATTGTTTATAAAAGTCAGCACATTTCATAAATACTTAATCAGAAATACGAAGTATAGCAGGGGAAAAACCCTTTGAGGAAATTAATTTTTAAATTCTTAAAAGGCCAGGGAAATAGTCCAGTGGTAAAGTACTTGCCTAGCATGTTCAAGGCCCTGAATAGAGCCTCCAAAGGTACTGCAAAAATACTGAGAAGAAGTCTAAATTCTAAGCCAGTTGTTCATTACCCAAATTGGTTAATGAGTGAACTGGTCACCTGGCAAACTGCTCTTTAGGATACACGGCTCTGGTCCGGAGAGTGTTTGGGGGCAGAAGCAATATGGCAGCCATGGCAGAACGGAGCACATAGGAAAGGAAAAACAATTTTCCTCAATCCTTGTAAATTCTTAGTTGGAACGGATTCTTCTAACAGACAGATTAACAAGAGAAAAATAAAAGTTCATTAACACATATATTTCAAATATCCACAGGGGATATTCAAGGAGTGAGCAGTTCTTGAAAAGTTGGCTTTGAATTCAGCTGATGTAACGTTTTCGAAAGAGAACAGTACATTTTTTGAAAGAGAAAAGAGAAAGGACTTTGAGTCCCACTTGCCAGTCACAGATTCCTCCTGTGGCATCTGAAGGGCTGTAGTCATCTTGAGTGGAGAGAAAGGGGTTAGGATACCTCTTCTTTCTGTAACTCTGTGTCCTGCCTTCAGGCAAGCAGTGAAGACAAAGAGCTTTCCTGCATCTGCTTTCTTGTCAACTGCAGGCAGCTCTACTGTCTTTATTTGGGGGCTGTTTGAGGGCGTCATACTCTGATCTCCCATGGAGACAGGGCTTTATTACTATAGGGCTAGATTACTATAGGCCTAGATTACTACAGGGCTTGGTGAGAATGCCCTATTGGTTGAGCGCAGGTCACACTCCTGCTTGCCGGAGGTGGTGAGAGGGAATCAGGAGCCTCTCTGATGTCCACAGGGGAAGTTGAGGCTCTGCTCCCCACTAGGACACAGACAACCATGACGGGCTCCAAACAGTAACCAACAGATGCTTGCTACATTGAATGAATAGACTCGTCAGGTAACATGGGCAGCAGTCACCGTTCATGAAACACTCAGAAATCTGTTGCCAGAAATTCCTCAACCTCTGTTCAGCCTGAGTTTCTGAGGCAAAAAATGCCCATGCCAGCTAGGTATGGTGGTGCATGCCTGTAATCCTTGCACTCTGGGAGGCTGAGATACAAAGATCACAAGTTTGAGCCCAGCTTGGGCAACTTAGCAAAACCCTAACTCAAAAATACACAGAGATGGTAGCTAGGGTTCTGGAAGCTGAGATTTCTGGAGATTTCACTGCTGTCAGTGCTCTTCACTTTTTTGACCTTTCCTGGGGCTATACTGGAGATCAGGAGTATCTTTTTGGGGGGGATGGGGAGGGACAGCCCAGACTTTGCAGTAACAAAGGTTAATGTTCTGTCATCTCGCAGATCTATTTCCCCAGGCTCTCCAAAAGTAAATGTTACAGTGATGAAAACGCTGGAGTCTGGGTTCTGGTTCATTTGAGAGCCCTCACCTCTCAGAGTGTACCCTGGGAGCCCTGAGCCTCCTCTGTGGCCTGAAACTTCATAAACTTCGGTTTAGGCTGTCAGCACCGATTTAAAGAGATTTGCTTTGTTCCTTGGCTTCTGAGAAAGAACTGACAGCAGGGCTTTGGGGGTTAATGGTGAAACCTGAGCTGGCTTCTTCCCCCCTAGAGAGGCAGAGTGAGTCAGATGTTTGCGCAGAAGGCTGTGGTGTCAAATCCACACATTCACAGGCCTTCTGCCTTTGCCACTTTAAACCAGGAAGGTGTACCGCATAACAGTTTTAATTGCTAAACCCTAGCTGCAAACCCCAATCGCTGGATTTTGCAAGCGTTGAGTGTGAACAGCTGTGAGCAGTGGCAGTTTTCTGCCAGGTGGGTTTATTTGTTCCTTTGCTCATCATCTGCTTCCTTGTGTGTGCCCAAGCCCACAGCAGGGGCCTGGGCCATTTGCTGCCTTTCCTTCTGGTCAGAGGCCACGGCCTCTCCTGCAGGTTTAGCTTCATCCCTGCTCCTCGCTGAGTCCTGTGGAGCTTGTTTCCACCCTGCATCTCCTGGGGACTGTGTGACCACTCGGAATCTTCATACCCGCTGGAGCTGGGCTGAAGCTCAGTCTACAATTCAGGTGGACAAGAGCTAAACCTTTCTTTTCTCAAGCTCAGTGCTGAACCTCTAACTGCAGCCTTTCCCTGGGCACATTCCCATCCCAGCAACACATGCACAGACCGAATTCCGGAGGCTCTTCGGACTGGGGCAAGGCCAAGGGAAGGAGGGGATGAGCCGCTCTGGGTCATGGGTCCACGGAGCTGGCTGAAGGATCTGTTGGTCCTGCCAGTGTGGCCCGTTGGTTCTGGGTTCCACTGTGGCTTTCCTGCCATCCCAGGCCTGTCTGAGGATGCTGGTCCCTCCTTGCATCAGCTTCCACACTCTGGAGCATGTTCCCAGTCAGCTCCCTCACTGGCTGGAAGGGAAGGAGAGAAGAAAACAGAAAGCACCCATGGCAAGGATTAACACCTTCTAGCAGGTTCAGGGCCTGTGGCTAGCTCTCCTTTTAGCCTAGCTCTCTGTTTCCAGGTTGGGGGTGGGGGGTTGTAGACATCTTTTTCAAAAGGAATTAAAAAATGGTAACAAATAATATTCTCTAATATCTGTTGAGTTCCGACTGGATCTGGCACTTCTGCATGAAGTATTAATATTTTTTCCTTTTACAGCTCAGAAAACTGAGGCTCGGTGAGATAAGAAACTTTGTTCATGGTCACGAAGCAAGTGACAACAACTGGGACTTGAATCCCAGGCTTCCTGATGCTAGAGCCCAAAACCGTAGGTATAACCTCACTCTATCTTAGATACTTGAAAAACGCTGAGGGCCGGGGATTTAGCTCAGTGGCTCCAGCGCCTGCTGCACAAGCACAAGGTCCTGAGTTCGATCCCCGGTACCAAAAACAACAACAACAACAACAACAAAACACTGGTGCTATAAACCTGCTAGGGTATTTTAAAATTATACTTTTATGCTTATTCTCACCTTGGCTTGGATTTTATTCTATAGTCCTGCCCAGCTCTTGGTGGGACTATAAAACACAGCACCCAGCGGTTAGCCCAGCTGCCAGGCCTGTGTTATAAGCTCAGTGCATACTTGTTGACTGATTGATTATACATTGCACAAATGATTTTGCATTTTCACTCCTGTATGTGAATCCAATGTGGCAGAAAAAGAAAGACATCATTGGCAGCATTGTACTCTAAAAAAATAGAGAAAGTCCTTTTAGTTCTACTTAAAAAAAAAAAAAAGTTAGGTACTGGGACTCCAACTCTTCCTTCAGTTTGGTCTCCCAGACAGTTCCCAGTCTAATTTGCTCAGGGTGGGAGCCTCTGCAGGGTTTGGGCATGACAGACTGACAGACAGACAGACCTGGGTTCTAAATCCCAGATACTTGCTGTCTGTGTGACCTGGACTGGTTACATGGCTCTCTGACCCTCTATTTCCTCCTCATCAAATAAGAGCAATAATAGCACCTACTTTGGGGACGGCAGAAATGTCAGCAGGCATTCAGCGTCTACTTCCAATCTCTGTCAATTAAGTCAACCTTATCAGATTATCTTATCAATTTAAACTAATCTTAAGGTTCTTCTGTAAAATCCTGTATATCGCATGCCATCCCTTTGGATGAAATTAGGAATTCATGTTTACCAGTACAGTTTAAAGCTGATACTGTGTATCAGTAAGACGTTTTCAGTTGTGAGGAAGAGAAAATGCTGGCTCAAAATGGCTCAGACGATAAAAAAACACATTAACTGAAGGTGTGAGCAGTGATTCAGTGCTCAGTGATGGTCATTAAGACCCAGATTTTGGGCCGGGGGTTTAGCTCAGTGGTTCCACTGCCTGCCTTGCAAGCACAAGGTCCTGAGTTCGATCCCCGGTACAAAAAAAAAAA